GTTGCAAAGTTCACAAGCGTAAGGTATTTCGTTGGCATGAATACGCAAATGTGTGTTTAATTTGCTTCCTTCAATTTGATCATTATAGAACTTTAGTTTACTATTATTTAATTTATCCGATTTCAGTGTGTCACTCTCAGTAAAAGTCTTATCAGATATTTTAAAGGGTTTCTTCTGTCTAATATGAGGACATGGCTGATTATATGAAATCTTATTTGTCTTGCTTCCTTCCTTACAAATATAACACTCACCTGCTTCATCCATTTTTTAAAGTAGTTCTAAAATGTCTGGCATAAAGCTGCACGCGAAGCTAAATTTATGTTTCTTTCTTGATATTCTTACGCAGAAAGTGAACTCACTTCTTTATTTAAAACGTTGTGTAATTTATAGTTTTTCGAGGGCTTCCTTCATTTCTAAATGGCTTGCAGATAGCTGTTGATACATTTCGCTGGAGACTGGGAAGATTTAAAATATATCTAGAAATATTTCAAAATAAATGCAATACCAGTAGATTTAAAAAGTAATATTCTATTGGGTAGCTATAGAATCATATATAGGAAATATAAACCTAGTAAAAGTAAGAAATAGCCCATGAGGACATTTCAAAGGGATATTTATTCATATTATATGTGAAACATAGAAACAGGAACATAGAACTGTAATAAAATGTCTAGAAACACAGAAACATAGAACTATAGTAAAATGACCCATTGATATGCTACCCCATGACACTTTTAAATTTAGTACGTAATTAAATTATTTTTTGTGTGTGGCATTTATGCCACAATAGTGGTTATGTCTAAAAAATAGATTTATAAACTTATTGCATTAACAAAATGTTAGTATTTACAAAATGTTAGGTTTAAATCTGAGTAGTTTTTTCGACGAATAAAATTTTTGAGTTAATTTTAGTTAAAAATATTTTAAGAATATCAAGTAAACTTTCATTTATGACTTTTCTAACCTTTATCATTTAAATCATACCGGTCAGGTCTATGGTAATGGTAATTCACTCATAGTTTAGGAAATTCCATTTGCAGATTTTGCGATTTCAATATTTAAAGAATCTTATTATGCGGAAAATTGAACACTGTCTTATGTTAGTAGAAATAGGTCAGAAAGGTTCAAGATCTGAAATGTTTTCATCGACACTTGTTCATGTTTCAGAATTTCCTCGCCGGTGACATTATCCCTTACTGTGCGTTCAGTGTAAATTTAAATTATACTATGTCACATTTTAGGCTGCATGTTTTTGATCTAAAAAAGCATCTCTTAAATTACTATTTCATGGTCGTGGTAATTTAGTGGTCCTGATCATGAACTCGTTTCCGGTGTGTCCTATGTTCGATTCGTAGTGCCTCTGAAGATCCGCCGTGTAGATGAACTGGTGCACGTTAAACCTTTCGAGGCTTAATATTAACAGGGATTGGAAGTTCGGAGAGGGATTCTTAGCTCAGATGTCGTCATTTACACTTGACCAAGGTTCAGAATGTTGAGGTCCGTTGGCCGAAACCCTCGTATTGCTTTAATGTGTGACGTTATTAAAACATTGAAGCTTAGATAGTAATTTCCTACAATTCTGATGTGTGAATTACTTGATCGATTTAAAGGAGCAGTGAGTGCACAACTATTGAAAAAAATACAAATAAATATTTAGTTTACAAATCCTTTTTCGTTCGAAGGATACGTGGTGAATTATGTTTCAGCTTTATTGTCGATTTCAAAAAAATTGTAGCAATGATACATTTGAATTCGAATTTCTTTCGGATGTATTTTATATCTATGTTCTTGTATAAATAGGTTACGGATGTATGGGAAGTGGGTTTCCAGTTCAATCGTCTTCCCCGTCACTTGACAGCAGCTCAAAACTACGAGATCCATCACCAATGACTCTCACGTATCTTTGAAATGAATTAATAAACTATCATCAAACAATTTTAAAAATAGATCAATTTTTTTATAGAAACAGCATTAGCAATATTAAATGATTATATTCCATACAAAAGGCATAGACTGAACAGGGACAGTGCAATTTTTCTGTTTCTTTGAAATTCTACTACTTTTTTATTTCCGGATAACCAATTGGTTACTAACGTACTATCGTAATTATATTGGTGGCATTGAAAAAAATCGTACGAATTCTAAATGCGACATACGCTGACGAGGGCAGGAAGTGCAAAGTCTGAAAATACTATGAAAAAGTAATAGATAATTAAAAATGAAAAATAATCAAAAGAAAAAGAATAAATAAGTTTTACTTTTTTATTTTATTACTATAACATAAAATCAATGTTATTGTTATTTAACTGTTATGTATAATTATATAACTATATTTTTACATTGATTTTTTAAGAAAATTTGGTTAATCCTATATTTGCATTTTAGTTTGTTTGAGCTCGCCATTTCAACAAACAATTAACCTGAGAACGGTGGCGAGTGGTTTAATATGAAACGAAGCTCGTGGTTGCCAATCCAAGACTTATGACACGTGCGAAGTCGACGTTGCCAATTTGGTGAGTCATCTTGGAAGTTTGCACGGGAGTATTAGTACACAAGTACCCACATTTGTTAAACCCTCTAAATACTAGTTGTAAAAGTGGGAAAAAATGATAAGCTGAAATTATTTTTTGATAGAAGTAATATTAGATATCTTACAGGATTATTTTCTACACAGGAGGCTCAGAAAGACAAGGGACATTGCAATTTTTCTGCTCCTTTGAAATTCCACTACTTTTTATTCCCCAATTCACAATTTTTGTGCAGCATAAATACTAAAAGTAAAAGTTGCAAGCATGTGGATCCATTCTTAAAATCAGTAGATTTAGTGTTGTGTGGTCATAGTCGTTAACCGGCGTTTGATGTTATTCCTGTCCACTTGTGGATTCGTATGCTGATCTATTTCTTGAATTGCATACATTTTTTTATTAAAAATGCTTCCAATTAATTCGAAATTAATTAAGCAATAACATTTATGATCGGGAATTTTTCCCTGATATGTCTTTCCGTATTTAAATCGCTACCCTTTATTTTCTTAAATAACTATCATTTTTAATTTTAGGAATATAAATTATTTTTACAATAACATAAAAAGAAAACTAGTTGTTAAAAAAGCGTTAATGAAATGCTGGAACATATATTCGTAAATATAGATTAATGTAAATTATACATCTGAAACTAAATTACAAAACTAAAAGGTGCTTATTAATAGATTTAATATCCTTCTACCAGGAATTAAGTATTTAAATCTTGTTCTAATTCCAACATTTTTTTTCTAGAGAACGAAACACTACAAAAATGAGTTGTCCCTTAACAAATAAAATAATGATGTGAAATTATTTGATAAAGTTGTAAACTCTTTGTCTATGTATTTAGATTTAATGGATCTGTGTTAAATGATTGCGCTTCATTCCTTCATGTATACTATTAGACACTTTGTTTTATTAAAGAAGTAATTTAAGTTATCTCGCTAGCTTTTGTTTAAGTAAGATTAGTAATTTTTTTATTGATGGCTACGGGAGCCCTTCGGTTATGGTTTTGGATTCAGGGCTGGAGTGTCGACGGATTTAAGTCTTGGTGCCGATGAAAACCCGGATTGTGATTCACATTTAAGTTTTCCAGCTCAATGTTGTTTCATTGGAGTGGTGTGGTAGTAAGAAAAAGGGAGTGAAAGCTCAGGTATCGTTCCGTCACTTGAACGATGCTCAAAACTACGAGGTCTGAAACTAATTTTTCTCGTGTTGCTTAGTAATCCGATGATAAAATAACTTTCACTGGCACTTTGTTATTTCTTTAATCATAGAAAACAGGCATGAATAAATTTGGCAGATAAGTGATATAAATTAACACAAGTACCCTTTTGATTTAAAGTTAAAGGAACGTTCTTGCAATCTTAATTGGACTATATGTTGCTGAATCGGAGGCATTTACTCATTTGAAGTTGTATCTGGGGTTATCTTAAATAATGTGAAGCAAGCTATTGAAATAGTGTTAATTGTTAATGATGTATTTACTTTTTTTTTTCAAAAAAAGCGTGATGTAATTTCGTCAAATACTTTTCTTCAATGTATTTTTACTTTCTGTGAAAACTTCATGATAATTATTGTATCCTTGAAAAAATGCATCAAATGTTTTTATATTCCTTACGTAAAAATATTTATTTGAAAAAATCAAGAATATATTTAAAACAATATTTTATTTTTAAGAAATAAAGCTTGGTTTTGAATTTTGAGAGTAAACATTCAGCTTTTTAATTTGAAAACTACGGTCACAATCTGAATACCCCATCCCCCCTCCAAATTTCCACACTAATGCACAGGGATGACTTAAGGAATTAACAAATTTAATTCACATCGACCTTTGTACACAATGTGTCTTTAGTACAAGTAGCATTTGTACCTATGACTACAAAAATCAAAGACAACGGCCATTACTGCCCAACTATCGCACCTACTTTTTTTTTAAAGAATTACATCGAAGTTTTTTTCAGATAAAGTTTTAAACCTGCTTGTAATAAAAAAAATCTGTTTTACAACAATGGTTAAAATGTTGTATGTATAGTGCTACTGCAATAACCGACACATCAGGGTACCAAATTCGTTGCTGGCACTTTTCGAATCATGGTTCAAGCCCTAGTGACAAGACCCCAGAACCACCCAAATTGAGAGGTTGTTTCAGATTAAACCATGGATGTTTTTTTTCTCACAACTTAGATATTAGGTTTATTTGTTGTCCTCACCACTTGAGTAAGGTAAAAATTTACGAGGTCGAACACCTCGCCAAAGCCTTAACGGATCTTCAGTGAGCGGATCTTTAAAATCGACCCTTTATAAAAAAAAAAGGGGGGTTATTGGCTACGGATCTCGTAATTTTAAACTTCATTCAAGTAACAAAGACTACACCTGAGCATGTATCTCCTCTCCAAACTTCCACACTTCACCAATGGCTGGGCGTATGAGCCTAAATAAGTTTAGCGTGCATAGAGCCAATCTATACGGCAGAAATTAAGCAGTATGAGACTCGAACTCATGACACGACCACCACAAGGACTCGACCTTGACCACTGGGCTATCGTGCAGCGTACAAATTATTATGCATACCATCGATTCATGTTAACTTTTATTAAGGCAGGATTTTGAAACTTCCCATTCTACAGAGATATATCTCTCTAAAACGAGCTGTATCTTAAAGTAATAAAAGAAAATGCAAAAATAACTTCTCCACGATAGAGTATCAATACCAAAACCATTTTAACCTACGGGGAAAAATACTAAACATGTTAAGTATTACAGTGACTACAAAAATTGTTGTAACGACGTTTGGAAAAAATGGTCTTGTGTACAAAACTGCTTTTGCTATCGTGGCATTTGCTGTCATCTCAAAACTCTTGTGTGTCACGTTATTCAACATGTGAGAACCCCCCCCTGGGTTTCACCCAGGACACTAAGATTAACTTGAGGCAAAGAATGACCAGACGCCATTTGTATAATAACAAATTATATTTATTCAATAGATTCAATTAGAAACATTCTAATTACAAATATTAAACAATGTATCTACTTCAAAGGCATTTACCTTTACTATTAACTTAAATTACAAAATATGATATTAATCAGCTACTAATCTCAATATCGAAAGGGTTTGCCGGAATAAGAGGACCGAGAAATATACGCAACTAAAATTATTAACCTTCATTAAATTTTCGCTAACTTTATTACATAATAACTCTTGTGGTCAGAGAACTAAGTTATAATATATCACCTGGCTGTAATGTTGTTCTCTCCAGGCAGATCAATCCTTCTAATGCTACTTCGCTGAACAATAACAGCAATACTCTAAGCCCGCAATCCACTTGAATCCTATTAACTTCGTCACTACCGCTCTTGGCTCAATCGCCTTCTATCTGCTAACTTACAACGCTCTCCTTAAATACCTTAATTCATTTACATATCCCATTTTCCTTTTTTTAAAACTGATTGGAAATATACGCGAATTTATAATCCCCAAAACGCTTAAGAATATTAGGGGAAAAGTGCCAAATAGATTCGTCACAAACACAGCATAATATATTTTCGTCTGGAAAGAGCCTTCTAAAATACATCATATACACTGAAGAGCCAAAAAAAAAAACAATTGGTGACTTTTCTATCAGAAACAGGTATATGAATTCTAAATAATAATATTTAACTTGTGTCTCTACTTGCTTAGACTTAAGTGATTTATTCAGTTAAACATGAAATAGAAAATTTAACAAATGCTGATGTGAAATAAACAAACTTAAGTGAATATAACCTGTTAGTCGTGATTGTGAGTAATAAAGATAAATGTTTATTTGGTATGTTCTATCAAAGCGCAAGTTGTGGAAAGAATTCCAAATTTATGCTGACTTTATTACAAGGAAACGTAATTTATTTCTTTTATTCCACTCAAAAAATAAAGTAATATAAAAGCAAACAATACAACTAAAAATGAATTAAACTACTTGCTTAGTTAGTCCTGAGGGGTCCCTGCATCAAAATTTCTTGGAGAACTTTTTCGAAAACTAAAGATGATCCCATTAATGAAATTTGTTTTAAAGCAGTGGTTCTCAAACTTTCACTACATACGCCTCCCTTTTCAATCACAATTTTTATCGCGACCCTCCTTATACATTAATAATGTACTGAATGCAATAATAATGCACTTTGGCACTAAAGCTGCAATACGATGATAATTACAAACCGTACAAATTAACAAGATAAGTTTTAAATTTTGTATATCTTACTTGTAAGTAATATTTTTGTTTTTACTTTTTAGTTCGATTCACTATAAAAGCGTGTTTTTTAATTTGTTTAAAAACTATAATTTATTTTATAGTTATTTTTACTATACACGATAAAAATCACAATTCCATTGAATAATTAAATTATGAGAAAATATACTTACCTACTTTCAAAGACTTTTCAATTTTTCTTAGAAAATTTGAGAAAAAATCCAATAAAACTAAAGAAAATGTTCCAAATGTACGTGTCCTTAATAAAGGACATAAATCACAGACACTTTTCGCTAACAACATAGGAACGTTATTTTCCAGCTAAACTTTGATATTTTGTTCACGTTTTTGTAGTTTTTCTGTTGTTTGATGATCTACAAATAGCACTTTGGACTTTTTCTTTCTCATGTCTTTTTGGCAAGCCGAGATGCTACATAATAGCTTCATGGTTTTCATCATAGAGATCTTTAGGCAGCATTTGAAAATTTCAAATCAACTGAAAAGTTTCATGTCTAACGCTTTTCTGATATTTACTTTCACTATATAGATGCCCATTAATATTATTATTTCATATTCAATTGCTTGATTTTCAACTTTCAATAAACTCGCCCATTTTTTCATAAACCATAATATGTCGTACAAAACAGCAATCAAAACTACAAAATTGTTCATGGGGAAAGTGTAGCATGTTCTAAAAATAATTGTGTGAAACGTTTTCTTTATGCATTATATGTTTCAGAATACTCATGCTTATCCATATATCATAAACCTCTTTTACATGGAAAAAATGAAACAGAAATATATTATGTCAATTTACAACTACCCTAAAAAAAGACGGAGGTAACTATACCAGTAAGTTCGAAGGTCAGCTAAAGTAATATTTTAGGTTGAAAGAAACGTAATAAAAAAATTTCTCATCGTTTGATATCGTTAAAAGAAACGTAAAAAAAAATCTCTCTTCGATTTCATATTGACCGCAAAGCAAACAAAGTATTTTTTTAAATTTGGTTATAGGATCAAAGATGGCTAATGAGCGTTTGAAGTGGAATCTTTTATTTTTGATGATCACCAGATGATAAAAATAAATTATATCAGTGTAAATGTGTGTTTTTTATTATGATAGAAAGCATTTTTTTTTACTTCATTCCAAAAAAATGTTTTTATAAACCTTTTATTTTTAATATCCTCGCATGGTTCCACCCCCAGGGGGCGCGCCGCACAGTTTGAGAAACACTGCTTTAAACTCTATCAGATTTAACCTATACCAGAATAGAGCACATTGAGAATGACAAACTCTGAATATGTGGTCACTCGGTCTCTAACTTGAGACTGTACAAACCACGAATTAATAAAAAATTTTCAAATTGTTATTTTTAATACGTTTTAAAAATTATACGTATTGATAAAAAGAAAATATGTGTGTCGCATATAAATTATTAATTTAATTTAATTTAAAATAATTTTCCATCTGACTTAGATTATTAAAAATCAAGCTGTTGATAGATAATTGTGGTCATTTTTGTTAAAAAACAATGAGTCAGGATATCACATTACATTACCTTTTGTTTTTATCAATCCCTAATAGAACTTTTCGGAATCTTTGCAATAGATTTAACTTAAGATTTTTACATATGATACCATCGACAAATTTCGCTTAGCCAAAAGACATCACCAAATGAAAAAAGGTCGCTAGATGTTGTCATCATTTTTGTACATGTGTGAAATTTTTTTTCGAGCGTTCTCCTTCCATCTTAGTTTATCGACACATAAATTTGATGTTTAGAATTGAATACACAGTAGAACCTGTTTTGTGCGGCCTTTTTTATGCGATTTTATTTTTTTGCCATTTGTTTTGTGCGATTTTTTATGTGCGATCTTTTTTACGCGGTGTATGAATTTCAATGGCTTTGGCGCCACTGTAATATTTTATATCTGTTTACCAGTGGCGTAACGGAGAATGTTCCTCCATCCTGAAAGTCAAGTTTCGCCTTTAATATTTTATAAATTGTGTAAATAAGTATTTAGCTTAAGTCAGGCCTTAGGCCCCTAGAGTCCTACCCCCTTCCTATTGTGCGGGGTGTACGTTACGCCTAAGTATTGCAATAGCAGACTAAAAGTTCAATACTGTTATTCGGTATTTTTTAGATCTTAATACCGGGATACTAGGAAAAGAATTAAAATACAGGTTTTTCTTTCTTTTATTTGCCAGTTTTATTAGAAAGGGCAAATATCACAAAAAATTAATTTTTAATTTTTAAATTATAACAGTATATGAAAAATCACAAAAACGTTAAGGAATATCTTATTTATTTAAATCACAAAAAATATATATTGTAAATATCACTATTCAGTCTGTGGTACTATTAAAAATATTGGAAATGTGATAGTAAAAAACATAATGCATTAATTGTACTGTCATAAGCCTGGAACGTAATTATGGGCAAAAATTAACAGGTGCCGAAACTTCTCTTTAGGCATATTAGATAGTTGGTGGTATTGTTAGCAATACGCGATATATATTTCCAACAGTTTAAATCTAAATCTCTCATCTTCAAATAAATCGATTTCTCGTCGGATGGTTTTGGATGTAGCTGATTTTGTATTGTATTTTGGTTTGTTGAATTTTTTTTAGTTTCGCGAATTCTAAATTTTGTTCAAGAGACATTTCCTTTTCACTATCGACATTTGTGTAATAATCATCTTCGATAACTCTAAGATTTGTGGGTAAAACATTTTAAGAAAATTTACTATAAACTTGATCAAATTTGAAGTCACAACTACAACCTTGTTTCCACAGATACGAATATCAGTCTACGAATCCTGCGCGTGTGCAGTTTCGCTCTGAGCTATAATAGAATAGTTTTGACTCGCCTCCTTGGAAGATTTACATATGTCATCCCTTTCTTGATTGTACGATGCCACTTTATATTCACAGTCTAATTAATTTCACCCATTAAGGAGGCATAAGAACAAAAACGTAAACTATTTTGCTAGGTTGGTGATCCCTGGACATATCCTTCCTTCCTCAGTGGCTCGACAGCTGAGGGTGGGCCATGGCCTTCCCAAGAATCCTTTTCCATGCCAGCCTTCTTCCAGCTAGTGCAATTTTTAATTCTCAAAACTAGGAGATATTTTCTAGGCCATCAATCCATCTAAGGTTTGACCTGCCCTATCTTCGTGTGCCATTTGGTTGGGCATTGAAAACTTGTTTAGTGGTGTGGATTTCGTCCATTCTGACAACGTGGCATCCCTGAACATATAGTGGATACAATTTCAAAAATTTCTTGTTAATACCGGAAAACCGGTATTTAAGCTTGTGAATACCG